CATGTCGGTATGTGGTAGAACGTTGGGGAGGGGGGTCAAAATGGTGGTTTTCACGTTTAGAATAAAAAGGGTGCCCTCCCAAAAGGCACTCCTGGGCAAACGACCCCAAAACCCAAAAAGGGTACCCGCGCGGAAAACGAAGGACACGAAAGACACGCGGATGCACGGGCGGCGTTCGTTCCCAGGGCCTGGGATCAGCCGCCGGCCGCGCACCAAGCGAGCTCACCTGAGCTCACCGGTATAACGAGCTCACCATGACAAAAAGGTCCTTGGCATTGGAATTGATCCGATTCTTAATTCAGCGTTTGGAATTATGAAACATGCAGATATCGACCCCAAAGAGGGTTCCAATCCTCTTTCTGGGCTGGGGCACTGGTTCAAAGGCCTCGGTTAGATAAAGGCTGAAGCTCCAGTCCGCTTGACTGTGGCCAGAGGAGCACCTCCAGGGGTGAAGTCCCTTTATGAAAGCGCCGAGTATATGAACAATCTCGACAATTGGCGTTTCTGAATCCGGGGTCAACATGAGTTACACAACTTACTCACCTCTGTCTCTGTGTGTCTCTGTGTGTCTCTGTGTGTCTCTGTGTGTCTCTGTGTGTCTCTGTGTGTCTCTGTGTGTCTCTGTGTGTCTCTGTGTGTCTCTGTATGACTTTCATCAGGGCTTTAGCTTAAAAGTCCCTTTACGCCGTATCCCGATACTTTGCGAACGCAGTTGTTACTGTTGAGGGCTTGAAGGTTTTTGAGAATCCTCGCTTAAGGTTGGTTGGTCGAAAGAGAGACCAACAATAAAGCAACGCCCTTGTCGGGGATTCAAAACCCATGTGCCACTGGGTTTTTGGCCGGATCTGCTCGAAACCGCCGCCTTAGGTGGAGGCCTCCCCGTCCCCCTCCCGCCTGGCCGCGGGCGCGGGAGCCGCGGGCGCGGGCGCGGGCCTGGCGGCGGCCTTGGCGCCCAAGCTCTCAGCGCTGATGCAGGACGGATCCCACGGATCCCACGGATCCGACGGATGGGGGGGGGACTTGCGGTCGTTGGAGTTGGTATCACCAAAAATCAGGGGAGTCTGGTCTGGGGCGCTTTAACCAGGGATGGATGCTTTTTTGGGGCGCTTGGATGTTCAACCTACTTAGATCATACTATGTGGCATTTAGTGTTGGTACTGACAAGAATTGGGTTCAAACTACTAAGTGGGTTGAACATTCAAGTGGTCCTTTGATGGGAGGGTGGTGCTTTCCCCGTTGCTCAGTGGATTCCATCCTGTGAATCACTTTAGTTTCGTTTTGGGACCCAAGGGCTCCTTTTTTCCCACCAAGGTCACCGAACAAGTGGCTGTGCGCCTCCAGAATTCCAGATCCCTATGAACAGCCCACAACGAGACGAGGAAGCAGAGGGGAACATGGCAAATGAACATGTCGGATCGGGTTTACTCGCTTTGGGTGGCGTTTTATTTTTTGACCCTCACGGCTGGTCTTTGGCTCCATTCCTACAGGTGATCTCCATTCCAATTTGAACCCTACCATAAGGTCATCACAAAACTCCTCTCCTCACTGCTCACTCCCTCCAGGCGCAGGCGGCGGGCGCCAACATTGCGGCCTCGCGCGCCTGGCTCGCTTGGATGTTGGGGAGAGGGCGGTAACTCCACTGAATTTGGCTTCATCAAGAGCCAAGGTGCTCTTTGGTTGCTGTTCTTTTTTGTGAAGTTCCGAAACTTTGGTCCTGAATGTTCTCAGTTGTACTTGGAATGCGGGTCAGGATTTGGGATTGTCAGAGCGCAGGTGTATGACCATGGCTTCGAGGAGCATGGCCCATGGTGCTCACGGAAAATCAAGATTGTGCATGGGTGCCATATACATAGCCCATGATTGTAGTTTCCCCTAAAGGACACCCAAAGGGAAAAGGGACACAAGTTGACAAGGAAGTGGGAATCAGCGAATTGATGGACTAGGACTCTTGCTTGTCCCAGGTGTTCGTCGACGAGCAAATGTACAGCCCCCACTCCCCAACAACGCCCAACCTTTTTCCGACAGACGTAGCCATTTGCCCTATGGCTTACAGCGCCTCTAGGTCCTGGCTGACCGGGGTGCGGGGTAACTGCTAAAAGCTAGTGGCGTTGTTCGTCTTCTCACAAGATTTGTTATATTTCCTCATTGACCAGTTTACGTGTGAACATCGCCTGTTTGGCCGTAAAGGGAACAGATAAGGAACCCTGTCTCATTGCATGGCTTGCAACCCGGAACATGCTCTGGGATCTGTGGGTAATCGGGTTTTCCATTCTGCCTCGCACAGCTTAGAAGACCCGCTCAGATTGGAGGTTGTAGTCACCCGTGCTTGCTGCAGGTCGAAAGGCCCGTTGATTTAGCTGCTACAGGGTGCAGGTAAGTTTTTAGTAAGTTCCCTAAGTAGGATTCACCCAACCAACTCAAAAGGGACTTCCTAACCAGGGTCACTGACCGCTGTATTTGGGCTGGGCATCCAGCTAGCGGAGCTGCTTAGCCAAAGTAGCCTACTGCGGTCATGGCAATGAACAGACAAAAATGAAAAGAAGAAGAAAGGGTCCCCCGCTGGATGACGTGTAAAGGCAAGCCAAAGAGAAACCTCCCACGCCTGAGCACTTTTCGGAGTAGCTCTCGGCAGGGATCCGCCACATTTCTTGGATGTACCCACCACAAACATGATCAAGTCTGGTTCGGACATATTCCTTCCGAGGTTGGTTGCGTCCTGGCCTCTTTTGCCTGTATGGTTTCTTTGTTTCTGACCACCGGGCCGTGTCTGGCCGTGAGCAGCCCGTATTTTTTCAAGACACTATTGACAAACAACACGTACGCAGGTTTTATGTTTATTTTTGTGGCCCGGCCTGTGTGGATAGAAACAAATGGCGCCTGTGGGTTTCCAGGCAGGCTGTTTCGACCAGGGTTATGACTCATGATCGTGTCAAGTGGGTTGCGGGTTGCTTTCCCACGGCATGACATTGGCCGGTCGGTTTTTCCCCGGGCTTGGCTAAGTAGAACCTTTGTGGTCTCCTCCAAAATTACTTGCTGGATATTTTAGGGCAGCCTAGAAAGAATTTGAACATCTGTATTTGGTGTTCCCCAGAATTGGCCAAACAAATGCTTAGTTTTTCATTCTCCCAAAAGGACACAAAAAAGGGATGAGTGCATATCTTTCGGTTGTTCCAATTCGAACCGAACCGGAGCGGAGCCAGGCTCATGTCAGCTCCGGTGCTTTGGCGAGTCAGTGGTTGTAGTTGGCCAGTCACTCCGCTCACTCCGAGGAGGTCTCTTTGAAAGATGTTGGTCACTTTGAAAGTGAGCTTCCTTGGGGTGATGCTCAAAGAGGATTTTTTTAACAAATTCGGGACCTTTTGAGTTGGCCTATGTAATCATTTGTTGGGAAAGCCATGTGCATCAAACAGTGCATTGAACAGCCCATGAACAGCCCATTGAACAGCCCAGGCCAAGGCGCTTTGAAGGCCAGCGTCACTCCATTTCAAGTAGTGAAAACAGCGTAAAACCACCCATAGCCCAAAGCGATCAATGTCCCCTAGAGCATACTGCACAACAACCTCCAGGATGTGCTTGCCTCAAGTTTTCCGGAAGGTTTGCTTTTTCTGATTGGCTTAGGCAAACCAAAGGCGGGCGGCATTTTGGAATCCGCAGCCTGTTTTCTGGAACCATAAAGCAAAGGCTAAATAAACATGGGGTAGGGTCCCACGAAGCACCCAGAATGGGGCAATGGTGTGGTGTAGGTCCCCTGTACTTTCTCTTCCAACTTCAACCTTTCGATTTTTGAGGGCACCTTGGCAAGACTACTTTAAACAGAGCTCGAATTGCTTCGCTGTCATGTCTCAGCAAGAACTTTGCTTTGCCAATCTCCATGCGCGAATGTCTTGCGATTTGGCGGAGTAACTGCCGCCCAACCCCAACCCGCAAAAAGTCACGAAAAAACGACAGATACACACAAGAATACGGAACTTGAAAGAGGGCTCCTGTTAGAGCAATGGCCCGCTTTTGGACTCCGGTGCCGCCGGTAGGTGCTACCTTTCAAGACCAAGGGGCCCTCATGTTGACAACCTGAATGTCGTGATTTTTGGATATGAGCTTACTCCAAGTTCTTGCTTCAGTGAAACAGGTGGCCACGTAGCCCAAGTAGGTTATAGCCCTATGCCATGTGCCCCTGCTTTTGGAATGGGAAGGCCTCTTGCAACGGGGCCCACGTGGTCTGGGGGGTGGCACCTCTCCTTGCCTCGCCCAGGTGCCTGGAGGCGAGGTTTTGCTTCGCGGCGGTAACAAGTGAAGCTCCGGGCGGTTTTTGGTCGTATGTCATGTGCGTGTATTTGCATGTCGGTCGGTCGTGCCGTGCGTGCGCGTGCGTGGTTTTGTTTGCGTGTTTGTTTTTATGTTTGTTTGTTTGTGTGTGAATGTGTGTATGTATGTATGTATATATATGAGAATGAGTGCGCGTGCGCCCGCGTGTGTGTGTGTGGTTTCAAGGTAACCCAAATGAAATGCCACCATTTAGGGGGTCCAAAGCCCTGTTTGGACACATACTCATTTGGTCTGGTCTGGAGGGTCGGTCAATTTACCGTTTCAGAAGCTAAATAAACCGCAACTGTTGTTCACTTTGGGGGAAGCCACAAGAAGGTGGACGTGTTTGAAGAAAAACAGACCCTCGATTCAACACAGAGTTCAGCAACTGACACTACCCCTATTTGTCTATGACTCATAAGGGTAGGATTGCAACCAGGCGAACCCTTTCTCTAAAAACGAGGTGGGAGGCAAATAAGGCCTTGTTGCGGGCTTAATAAGAGCCAAGACCCCATGAGGGAGCCACAGCGGATTTTTTGCCCCTCAAGAAGGAGTCTTCTTCCTCTTGTTACAAAGCATCCATCAATATTTAGAAAATCATATGATCAGCGACCAAAACCTCTATGAACCATTTCAGTAGGTGGTTCTCCTGGGTTTTGTGAGGTTTATAGGCCCATATGAACCTTCAGAATTGTTGG